ATCATGCTGTTGCCATTGGTTGCCCCATGATTAAGAAAGACTAGCCCAGGTGGGTGAGTGGGAGGGTGGGTGGGTGGGTAGCGGTGAAGGGTACATGCCTTCGTGTTCCATTTTTTGAAATTTCTGATATAATGTGTCCTTTTGTTATTATTTTTAGTGGTGCAAATGTCCATGTATATTCCTATGATATGTCTTTCTCTCTGACTCTCTCCGTCTCTCTCTCTCTCTCTCTCTCTGTTTCTGTCTCTCTGTCTCTGTCTCTGTCTCTCTCTCTCTTTCTTTCTCTCTCTGTCTCTCTTGGGTTCACATGTATAGTTTATTTGTTTTTCTTCATCGTAATGCAGGGTAAACTCTGATTGATCCTTATAACTTGGTCTTAACTTATTAGAGCTGTTGACTAATTCTGACAATGTACTTTTTTATGTTTTTAACTAAACAAGGGGTATTTATGTGGGGGTTACTACATGGGCCATAACATTTGGAATATATACAACAATTTAACAATAATTGAACAAAATAAATTAATAAATGTGCTTCCTGGAGTTGGGGAGCGAAAGAAAGGACAAGCAAGCACATTTGATGATGTAAAATCTCCATCTCCATCCTTCCATGTGTTGGGTTTGTGCTGCCCATCAAGGTCTCTTCCATCCACAGCTATGGACGTATTCTTTCTCGCTCTCATCGTGGTGCATAACGTGGAATCATGGTCTTTACAAGCAATATGTCTCCTTTTTGTGCATGTCTTATTTGCATGTATAATGCAATAAATTCTGTAAAGTTATTGAGTTCTATTCGTCTTTCCAGAAAATCTGAGCAGCAAAGAATTGGCTGGATCCCTTCCTGCGGGCCTGGGAAAAGACAAGCATGCAGGAAAGGGAAGCTGTTGGTCACTGATTGCTTCCCATTTTCTTCTTCCCCCTTCTCTTTCTTTTCTGGGGACTGACGGTTAAGTGTAAGATCAAATGCAATGGCTAAGCGCAGGTTGCAATGTGGCCGGGAACCTTTCAGGATTGACAAAATCTTTGACTTAAGGCCGACACAAGCCACCTTCCCACAATTACATGGTCAGTGGCTTTAAAAACAAGCAAAGCCGAAACCTCAAACCAAATTCAGGCAATCTTTGGAGCAGGATAAACAAGATATTTTGTAAATATTAGACATGGGCAATCTAGCAGGCAAGGGAAACTTAAGTGAAGCCTCCCACGCATTGTGCTTTATTTGCTTTGTGTTTGTGTGTGCGCGTGCGCGTGTGTGTGCGTGTGTGTGTGTGTGTGTTTAATTAGGCAGAGGAAACTACAAAGAGGATTATTCAGTCGCCTTCTGAAAGTCAGAGAAATAATTTTGTCCCCCTATCTTACCCAGCCCTTTCCTCTCCACTTTGAAAAGTTGGCCCGTCTCATGGTATTTGTGTGGGCATGGATCAATGCAAATCTGTTTCAATTTCCCTGCAATATTGTCTGTTTTGATTGTTCTTGTACTAAATGTTAAGATAATGGAGCTTGGGACTTTTTGCATCCCATATTCCTGCAAAATAAATATTGCCAGCAGTTACTTTATCTCCTGGAAAAGAAAAGAAGCTGGAAGAGAGGGAGGAAGAAAGGGAGGAAGGGAGAAGAATGAGGAAAAGGAGAGAGAGAGAGAGAGAGAGAGAGAGAGAGAGACAGAGAGAGAGAGAGAGAGAGAGCTTGGGGCAAAGAAGCATTGAAGCAGAAACGACCTTTAGTGGGAGTTTGCAAATGAACGTGATCCTCAAATGAAGTCCAAATGGTACCATGGAAGATAATATTTGTAACTCAGGGTTGAACCGGTGAAGTCCTGGGTGGTTTCTCAGCTTGGCTGTTTTTTTGCAGACGTTTCATTACCAAGTCACGTTTGTCTGTAAGAAGACTACCAAGCTCAGCGACTACCAAGGACTCCACGGAAGTCCAGATGCTTGGATCCGTGTTCAGCTCCAAAGAGCAGGCACCCATCGACCCACCTTGCGTCCTAAACCAAAAAACCTTCCGAAAATACTGCATTTGCTTCCCAAGTGATACCCGACTACGTCGGAAAAGAACATTCGTTTGGTTCGCTGCTTTTAGTCCGCGAATAAAGGGGTTTGTTGTTTTTTTAGAAGAAAGCTTGAGCTGGCGAAGGGCTCCGTCCTGAAACTATCTGTGTATTACTAACTTCCAGGGATGTACTTGAGAAAACTTTACCCATTAGTTTTTATTTGTTTATCTGCTGATGTAATGTATCTCGCATGTTTCTAAACTCATGCCCTTTGATCTGGCGGATCGAGCATGTTTTCCCTTTACACTTTATTGGTTTGAGATGTCAGCCAGTTTGGTACCCGGACACTTTGCTCCACACAACGTAATTTGGATTTGTTAACGTCCACACCATGGTTTCAAGAAACACCCACGCGTTGCCTTCTTCGGCAGCGTCTCCGAGCCCCACTTTATTTTGAACATAAATTCTGCGCCAGCCGAGGCCAACGGATTCCACACTGTTAATACCAATTAGGATCGGTATGTTTCTCAGCCTTACGCGTGGCTGGCTGGTTGTGCGTGCTTGTGCATAGAGACAGAGGCACGCAGGCACGGGCATCCCCCTCTAAACGTCTGCGTTTTGCCGTAATAAACAGGAGGCTTTCGCGTCGTTCGGAATTAAAAGGAATAGAGCTGTAAACTCGCAACCCGCCGCCGCCTAAGCGAATCTCCGAAAGGAGGGGTATATATATAACGTGGGGGGGGGAATGCTCCACCTCGTCTTTCTCCGCCTTTCGGGAGCCAGATAGCAGCCTCCGGCTTGTTTCATGGTTCGAACGGATCTTGCCCCTCATTCAAAGCAAAGCCAGGTTTAGCCTTTCCGAAAAAAGAAAAAAGGGAGCGCTTGCACCCAAATAAAAAGGAGGGGGAGAGGCAGTTGAATTACTAGAAGACCGGCGAGGCCATTCTTCCTTTAGTGCTAAAACCTACAGCAGGAAACTTGGCCTCCACCAGTCCATAATAAAGGCGGTGAAAGGCGGCTAAAACCCCTTTGTTTTAATTAGGTCTGGGGTGGGTGGGGGGAAGCGAATAGAAGTGGCTGGAGGCTCCGTTTTTTTAAAAAAAGTATTTCTTCCTGGAAATTGGCAGGGGCGCCCCCACCCCTTTTTCTTCCCGGCTGCTGTCTTCCAGCGGGCTGGGCGTAGCAAGGCCGAGACCGCTCCATTCACGAGGGCCACTCATTCATGTTTATTCTCTTTCCGAACTTCTGGAAGTTATACTACCGCTTCTTTGAAGTCCTTGCGGCTCAGACCTCTGGGAAGCGCCGGCATTCAGCTTGATGTTAGCCCTGAACGCAAAAAGGGGGAAGGAGAGAGACGGGGAGGGGGAGAGAAACGGATGGAAAGGGAGAGAGAGGGAGGGAGGGAGAAAGAGAGAGGGAGGGAGGGAGGGAGAGAGAGAGAGAGAAAGAGAGGGGGGAGAAAGAGAGAGGCTCCATGCCATCAGCCCGTTTTATTAGACGACGAGCACATTAATCTGTAATCAAATGCATCTCATAAAAGATTTATTGAAAAGCATAAAATCATCGCGGGGAGAAAAAGAGGGAGGTCTCGACTTCCACCTGTTTTCAAACAAGACCAGGGGCAACCCTTCCTCCCTCCCCCCCTTCTTCCACTTATTCAGGGGTTCCCATTTCACTCGGGCTCTCCCGTGCAGCGGCGTTTATCGCTCGGTTTGTGTCAAAGAGATTCCCGAGTTTCGCTCTGGCAAATCGAGCCCCGCACTGCGCAGTTGCACGAGGCGCCTCGCCTCGGCGTTCGTTTCTCTCGGCCAGGGATCCATCCATCCATCCATTCTTCCTTCTTTCCTTCCATTCCTCCTTCCTTCCTTCCTTCCTTCCTTCCTTCCTTCCCTCCCTCCCTCCCTCCCTCCTCCTCCTCCTGGCGATCTTTCAGGGGCTCCTGGCAACGAGAGGGACGAGCTCAGCCGCGCCAACCCTCCCCGCTCGTCGGATCCACGCGGAAACGCCTTTCAAAAACCCCAGCCCAAGTCGGCGAAGAAATAGTCCGCCAACTTGCGCTGCTCCCTCTGCGGGAGGGCCACGCCCTGCCGGACTCTGGGCTGAGGCAGGGCTGCCGTGGAAGGATTCGGCTCTTCTGCTCTCTTGTCCCCCCCCCTCGCCGCCCCAGGCACACAATGTCAGTTGGGAGGGCTGGGCTCCTTATTGCCGGTGAGTGAGAGCGAGTAAGAGTGCGTGTGAGTGAGTGAGTGTTTTATGGAATCATCATCCCAGCCACCTTTCCCCAACGCCAATGTAGCGGATTGATTTACTCCGAGTATTGGTAAATATGATCACGTGGGCGGAGGGACCAATGGTTGTAGCTGGGAAGGCTGCAAAATTCCCGCAGGATTTTTTCCCAGGACCGGGAGAAAATCCCCAGTTAACAGTGTCAACCTTTTTTTCTTTTTTCTCTTTTTGGATCTCTCTCTCTCTCTCTCGCCTGCCTCCCCCCCCCTCCAATGCCGTGCCACGGAGGGAATCTCCCCAAAATGTCGTCGGGCCGCGGCACCCTCCGTAACTACTACGTGGACTCTCTCATAGGCCCCGACACCGAGGAAGGAGGGTACGGAGGAAGAGCAGGCGGAGGCCCCGGCCCTTTCCTACCAGGAGGTCCCCCGTTCGCCGCTCCGCGGTTGCCTCCAGGTGTGGCGACCGAGGGATCGGAGTTCTCCCCGTGCAGCTTCACCCCCAAGCCGTCCGTCTTCTCCTCCTGGCCGGCCCGTCCTCCTCCCGCTCAACCCTCTACCCCGCTGCCGAGCATCTACGTGGCCCCGCCGCACCTCGGAGGGTCGGCCGAGGGGGGCAGGTACGTCCCTCCCTGGCTCGATCCCTACGCTTCCTTTCGCGGCAACCACGCCGCCCTCTCGGCTGCGCCCGCCGTCTCCGACCGAGACCCCGTCGCAGCCCCCGGACGCCTCTACGGGATCGGCAAGCCGGAGCCCGCCGCCTCCGCGTCGCTTGAGCCCCGAGCCTTCGCTTCCGCCGCCTCCGTCCCGTCCTTTGCCTCCGGTTCTCCAGCCCCACGGACGGAGAGCTTCTCGGCCGCCGACCGTTCCCGCGGGCCCGACTACACGTGCGACTCTTTTCTGGCAGCGGCGGCGACCGCCGGATTGGCTGCCCCCGCTCTCGCTTCCCCGGCCAGCAACGCCAGTCTCAGCCCGGCCAAGCCAGCCTCCGGAGGCAGCCCTAGCCGCAGCCCGCTCAGCGACCTGAAGGAGGAAAAAGAGGAGCAGCAATTTGGCCCAAGTAAGTTTTTAAAACGAGAAAATAAAAAGGGAGGAAGGAAGGAAAAGAGAGAGAAAAGAAGCCACACACACACACAAGAGCTGATTTATTGCCCCAACCTGTATGGCTCCAGTGTGCGAAAGGGGTAGTTTTACGAACCTATAAAAACGTCTAGACTCCTATCCCAGCAAAGCACCCACAGTTACCCATAAAAAGGGAACCCCATAACCGCCTTCTATTATCAAGACGCCCTCCCTCATCCAGCCAACAGACTGGGTCTTTCAGGTTTTTATGATAATCTCTCAAAAGCGCAGGGATCCTTCTGAAATTAATTTAACGACCTTCGTCTCGTTTCTCCCGCTTCCCCGTGCCCTTCGACCCCTCCCCAAATCCCCATCTCCCTTATTTCCTTCCCCTCTCCTCCTGTTCCCCTCCTTTTCTAGATAACCCGGCTGCAAACTGGATTCAGGCTCGGTCCGCCAGGAAAAAGCGTTGCCCTTACACCAAATTCCAGACTCTGGAACTGGAAAAGGAATTCCTCTTTAATATGTACCTCACCCGAGAACGGCGCTATGAAGTGGCCAGGATTTTAACCCTCACGGAGAGGCAGGTTAAAATCTGGTTCCAGAACCGCAGGATGAAAATGAAAAAAATGAATAAAGGGAAAAGGGAATAAAGGAGACTTAAGACTTTGGGAGATGTATTTGTGAAAGTATTGTAGCGTATTATTATTATGACGCACACAATCACACATGTATACACAGCGCTGCAGCAATTAATTGTTCTCCATGTTATTTTCTCAGGTGCATTAATTTAAACTTTAGATCATATCCATTTTTTTTTTTAAATGAAAGATATCAGCGAATGTGGTGCTTGGTACTTTAGAAGGAAAAGGGGTGAATGGGAAAGCTTTCTGTGAAAAGCTCGGGTTTTTTTCCTTTCCCCTTCCACTTGGCTTTGAGATACAGTGTGTGCATATTGTTGGGGGGGGGTTATTGTTTGATGTGCTCTGCACAAGTGACTTAGGACACCCTCCTTTCCAAGGTCTTTGCCCAGAGTTACAGCAAAGTTAAGGAGCTTCAGGATGGAGCTGAAGCATAAAGCAAGCTTTTTTTTTTAAGGCATTAGCACACAAAGCCTGCACTTCCTCAAAGACAGCTTGACTTGCCCCCCCCTCCCAAATCTCTCTGGGTTCTGTATACTTTGTTTTCCAAAAGTCATGTCAGAGAGGAGGATGAGCGTGGATGGGGATTCTTATGTGAGGCTAACCTACAGTTAGATTCACAGTCTGGGACTGCGGGAAACTTAGTAATTCAAGTCTTAATCAAGAACCTAAGAATTATTCAGGTAGTCTCTAGGAATACAGGCAATTCCAAGCAGGGTAGATATATTTTCTTTCTTTCTAAAATTCAGGGGGATTATTATTATTATTATGGTTGATGAAATAGCCAGATGGTTTTTTTTAAGGTGAAATCACAGCTGCCAGTTATGAGACTGGCATTCCTTCTCATTGGGTTCTTCCCAAGAACCTAACATGTCCTAATTGTAATCGTAATCAGCATGGTATATGTGTGGATCCAAGCAGTGGCCTTTTGGAATTGACAGATGGAAATGTTTGTCACTGAGAAGTTTTCTAAATGCCACCCAAGATGTTTTGGTATGGCATCAAGGGTGACATTATTATTATTATTATTATTATTATTATTATTATTATTATTATTATTATTATTATTATTATTATTATTATTATTATTATTTAAACATAGCTTCCTTTCTTCCATGCGGTGTATTAAGAGTGGCCTTGAAACTTTATTAATATTCGTAGGCCTAAAACACTTTGGCTCACAGTCTGTATTTTTGTTTGATTTGCGATCCTATTTAAGAATGAATTATTATTATCTGTTCACAACAATGTGAAACACATCTGCCAGTTCTTTAGTAGCTAGTGTTGGCCTTTATACATATCGAGATCTGCCGTAAGATGCCTGTAATATATTGGCGAAGTATACATGTGGCTCAAAACAGTGTGGCCTTTTAAGGTTGACAGATGGAAATGTTGCCGACGTTTTTCTAAGTGCATCCAAGATTTTTAGGGAAGGCACCCAGCATGCTGAAAACCACTAGGACAGCCACAGCTGGTTTATGCTATAATCTTTCCGTTCTGATTTTCAGATAAAGAATTTTACAATTCGTTATCTTCTATTATTAATTTTATTGTTGTTCCCTGTTTTTTTGTTTGCTTGCTTGCGTGTATATGTCCTAGGTTCCAGAATAAAATTTGAGCTCATGAAAATTAAATCTTCATCTTTTGAAGTGGGGAGAGAGATTATCTAAGAGTGGCATAGGTGCCATAAGGCCCAATCTTACAGCTTGCCTCTCTATATATCACCAAAATTGCCTGCAAACACACACACACACACCCGCCATTTCTACCACATCATCTTTAGTCTAAATGCAGTGACTGGCAGCACAGAAAAACCCAACTCCATTCTTCAAAAGTCTTTTCGGTGGCCAAAGGATTTTCTTCCACTCCCAAGAGATTACCAACCTAGGAAACGACAGTATTTTTCTTGCTGGCATCCTACAAACATACCGCTTGTTCAGAAAATTAAAACAAAAAATAGTACAGAGGTTTCCGGACTGATTTCTTTTTGTGGGATGGGAGAATGGTGCGATTAACCAATTTCTATTTGAGATTTTTAAAAATAAAAAAGAAGAAGAGGAAGAAATCAGCTATAATTATGGTATTCTGTACCTCCTGGGACTTTTTTTTCCTTTTTTAAAAAAAAAATTAACTTGTACCAGGAAAAAAAAAAAGATAAATCCCACTTTTACCTGGCCAATATGCCTATTTAATCCTGGCCTTACATCAAACAAACATTTACCCAAGTGACTTCTTGTGACTATGTTTACATGCCTGTGTTTGTTTGTTTTTTTTAAAAAAAACTTTGCTCCAATGCACTAACAAGACTGTGAAGTCCTATTGACTTTAGGAAATTAGATTTAAAAGCCAGGGATAGGTGGATGGATGGATGGATGGATGGATGGATGGATGGATGGATTGACGGATGGATTGAGTGATGGAGAAGAGAGAGGGAGAGAGAGGGAGGGAGGGAGGGAGAGAGAGGGAGAAAGAGAGAGAGAAAAACACAGGGGCATAAATGTTTTTTGAAAAGCTGGAAGTATTGCTCCATGCCAAATTTAAGAATCTAGAAATAAAGAAGAGCCCTTTAAGGTATCCGAACAACTATTTAAACACAGAGAAACTGCCTCACGGGCTTTGAGTCTTCTTAGATCTGGAGATGGTATCACACTTCCCTTTTCTCTACTCCCCACCCAGCAGGGCGAAGGATAAAGGCCCAAGAAAAAGGTGCTGGATTGGTGCTCTATTCACTGCCAGTCCTCTGTCTATCATTCTTTTTGAAAACAGGAAGAGCCAAAGTATAATAAAACCATTGAAAAGAGCAGACGTCTGGACCTAATGAGTTTACGATATGGGACGGTACTTTGAGACTATCATTATTTTGATGTTTGTGAGGTGTTTTTTTTTTTTGGAAAAGGGTGAAACACAAACGCTAACAAAGTAAGGTCTTAAAATGTTGGACCATAAATATCAATGTTTAGACGCCAACATCTGAAAAGTTGGGACATTTCTTGGGTCAGGATTGCCATTGGAAGATCAGTTTAGAAAAACAGAAATTGTTTTTAAACAGATTGGGAGGGGGCTAGAAGCGGGTTAATAGACGTGACAAAATTAGACCCCCTCTCAGACTTACAGACATAGCAATTTAGAGCAAGAAAAGGCTATTTCAGTCTTTGGAATTGAGCTGAACTGATTCTAAACTTCCCAGGGTTAATCCAAGTCCATGTGTGTTGATTTCAAAATGTCATTAGCTAGCTAGTCTGGCAGATTCTGGCTGGAAATATGGGCATCTTAAATTCCTTCCAAGTTGCCTGTTCTTACATGTGCTTGAGAGTCCATTTTGAGCATGAAGTGGAAGGGAAGAATTATTATGGTAACATCAATCTTAGGCAGGGAAATAAAGGTTAGGGTTAGGGTTTTAAAATTTAAAATTAGTTAAAAAGCAAGTTCAAAAGGGAAAGTATATAATATGAAAATAAGAATAAACATGAAAAATTCACACTGCATCAAATTAGTACAGATTTCATAGTGGCTTTAAATTATTTTTATATTTTCTTCTTAAATAAGGCATTTGGTTAAGAAAAAGATCTAGTAATTAAATACCCTATGTGCATGCTAATAGAGGGCAACACTGAAATTCACTGCATCTATTTTGCAATCTCTAAAAATGTAAAATAAGGCATATATACAATAATACTTTCTCTTACAGTTCTGATTATAAAGTTCACTGATAATTTTGCAATAATGCATACTTTGCTTTAAATTTTGGATTAGGTCAATAATATTGATACAAGGAAAGCTGGCATAGGAGGTTGTTTTTACTTATTAATGGGGATTAAAAGACAATAGAGTTAATTTCCTAATCTTTGTTGAAAAAAAGAGAGATAAAGATGGGATTTTATTCGGAAAGCCTGTTTAGATTTTTTTTGTTTTGCCACTAGAGGGCGATATCGCTCTATTCTTTTATAATTTCTCAGTTTTGTCCAAAAGAATAATTGTTTAAAAATATGTATACAGTCTGTTTGGGAAAAAAACAGAAAAGAAGAAAATACATGGATTTTACTTTTTTCCCATCAGCATAAGTGAACATGACTGTTGTTTAGCATGCTTTAATTAATTATGGGGTAAAAGAAGCAATTCAGCACTTCCAAAGTACTTATGATAATTTATCAATTAAACTTAATTATTAAAGATTGCGTAAGTGCCAATGAAAAATATGAATTTTCAAGCCATTCTTTTGTATTTAAAGCACAAGTTAGGAAATTAAGTGAGGCTTATAGGAATGCGTACTTTATTGCGTGTTTATTTTACTTTTTTTTTAATCAAGAGGTTAATGTTGATTTTATGGAAACAAAAGAGAGCTTGCAGATTTGCCACCCAAGGGGCTTCAAGTTGCACTTAGGGACCTTTCATTAATTAAACTTGTACACTGCCTCAATCCCAGAGGCAACTTACAGTGGCTTACATATTAATATTAAAACAGCAAATTTATATTGGTAAGCAAAAAAACACCATACCCAATTAGTCATCAGAGAGGTGGGGGAAGCGAAATCTGGTGTCAAGTTTTATAATCTTTTGTTCCTCCGTCCTGCTTTCAAATGCAGCAATTATAACATTCAGTGAAAGGTCTCAGCAGATGGCAGCACTTGGATGAGCCCAAATTAAGCAGGGACACAACTTGGAAGGAACACCATCAGGAAATCTCAAACAGAGACCCAGCAGGGGTAGGCCGGGAGCCCCAGAAACAGCCAAATGGTTAAACCACTCCTGCTAAGAAAACTGCTCAAACATGTCCCTGAAGTGACCAGAGCCCAGCTTGACTTTTTACATTCCTGGAAATACACAGGGTGACTTGGAAGACAAATAAGGCCTTCTGTGTGTGCAAGAGAATGGGAAAAACTGTGAAGACAATCCAAAAAATCTGTTGCGGTGTGTTGCCAATAGTATCGCCTTTAATATCCTTGCTGTATGAGAGTTCAGAATAAAAACACAGACGCATAGCTTAAAAAGAGACGTTTATTCGAAAGCACAGGCCATGACAATGACTAATCAAAAGAAACAGTATTTATGTATTAACAGGGCTCAGATCCTCCCTCACTTCACCCCCACCCCAAAGAAGACTACACAAACTGGAGGAGCGCTTTTAAGGATCATGCAGGGGCTGGGGCCTCTTGACTTTATGGCTTGCTCGGTGCAGAGTGTTGGGGCAGAATTTCTCTTATCACTTGCCAGACTCCCAAATAAAGGATTTGAATCTCTGGCCCTAAAACAAATGCCTTCTGCAAGTTCTGTTTTCCTGCCCAGGCCAGGCACCATAGCTTTCCCACCAAGGAAGAATTGTCACTGGGGTGCAGCAGGGCCTACAATTTAAGAAGGCTTGGCTGAGCAGGAGGGATTAGAAAGAGTTCTCTGATCTTTCTCTCTCCAGTCCCATCACTCCTTGCCTGCCTGCTTGGCTCCAGAGACACACTTTGGCTGAAGATACCCATCACCACTACCCCTGTGTTGGAAAGGCAGCTCTTGAGAGGGGGGGGGACAGGGTTACAGGCCTTGTGTTCCCCCCGACTTTGTGCCACCTCTCCTGGGGGAAACCTTCCCCCACCGCTGCTGTGGCCCCTTTGCTGGGGTTGATGTTCGCTTGCTTGGTTGGGCTAATGATGCCCCCGCCCAATGGGGAAATTGTGGAAAGCGTATTCATGAGCATGATTGCCATTAAGGGCCTATGAACCTGGGAGCTGCAGCACTGCGTCAAGGGGAAATGGGCATCTCATTTGCCTGCGGCCTTCCTGCTGCATCCGCCATCCTCTCTCTCCTCTCCTCCCCCGCTCAGCTGGCTTCGGTCTTCTGTGCTTTCCTCCTTCTCTGACCCACCTAGCAGCACATCATAAACATCCCAATTCAGTCGAGATGCCCAGGCCCGACCAACCAACCGCGGAATACATTTAAAAGGCAACTAATGTGGCCTCGAAGACACACCAGCGGTGGGATACTGACAAGAGAGCTGGGCCAGGGAATTGCATCGGCCTCTCCTAACAGGCGATGCTTTGTCTTTTGGGGAAGCTGGTCAAGGCCCTTTGATCTGGAATCAGAAGTCCTCGCCCCTATCTAGGCTGGCCACCACTTAGCACATGTTCAGAGGTCCAGCTTTTGGAAGAAATGTCTTCGCAGAAGGGTTATAACCTTAGTCCAGATCACAACGACAGCACATCCTGAACGATCTCCCCACCCCCACCCCCAGCCCTCCCCTTCTGTAGCCAGTCCCAAAGGTTGCCTGTTTCCCCTGAAGTCCTAAGGGCCTTCTCCACTCCACGGCTTCTCCTCCCCACCCCCGTGGGAGATCCGTAGTCCTCTGCTCTGCCTTCCCTTCCAGCCCATCCAGCTTTGGGCTTTATCTGACCTTGATCGCTCTCAGCTCGGGCCTCGCTGTGGAGAAGGGATGGGGTGCAGGAGGGGGGGGGCAGAGAATAGAGGCTGTTTGCCAGGGGCATCGCTTTAGGAAAGAGGCCAGGCAAGCGGCTGAGAATCCGGTTCTCTCTCTCTCTCCCCCCCCGCCCCCACCACCACACACACACTCTGCCTACTTAGTTTGGGACTCGGTTTTGGCCTCCGGAGATTGAGCGCGCCAAGCCAAGCCGCTCTCCTGCCTTGCCCTGAACTCTGGCCCCTGTGAGTGAGCGAGCGAGCGAGGGAGTGAGTGTGTGGCGGCGGGACGGCTGGTTGGTGTGTGCCTAATAGGAAATAGTAAAAGCAGTGAGGCAGGTCAGTCGACCAGCGATTACGGCCCGGCTCTGCTCCACGCCGCCAGCTCCACTCCGCGAAGGCAGCCGCCGGGGCAGCCTGGCCGAGCAGCTGGGTTATCCGGCCGGCGGCTGCGGAGGCCTCGGGTGGCGGCGGCGGCGGCGGGCTCTGCTGCTGCTGCTGCTGGTCTCCTTGCCTCGCTGCTGCTGCTGCTGCTGCTGTTGCGGCTGTCGGCGCCTCCGCTCGCCCCCCGCCCTCCGATGAGCTCCTACTTTGTCAATCCGCTGTACTCCAAGTACAAGGCGGCGGCGGCGGCGGCGGCAGGAGGGGGCGAGCCGCCCATCAATCCCGCTTACTACGTCTGTCACTTTGCGCCCGCCGCCGCCGCTGCCGCCGCCCTGCTCTACGGGAACAGCGCTGCCGCCGCCGCGGCCGCCGCCGCTGCAGCCGCGGCCGCCGCCTCAGGCTACCCCCCTGCGCCGACGGGTCCTGGGCCCGGCCCGGCCGTCAGCGGCGCGGACTACTTCCACCCTTCTCCCCAAGCTCCCCTTCCTCCTCCTCCTCCTTCCCACTCGCAGCCGCCGCCGCCGCCGCCGCCGCACCTGGCCGGGGGGAGCCCCTCGCCTTACCCGCCTCCCCCGCCTCCCTTGCAAGCCCCCTGCTCCGGCCTGCCTTGTTCAGCGGAGCCGACCAAGTTTTACGGATACGATAACTTACAGCGACCGACGATTTTTACGACACACCAAGAGGCCGAGCTGCTTCAGTATCCCGACTGTAAATCGTCCTGTGCTAATATTGGCGAGGAACCAAGGCCCTTAAATCAGAGCGCGTCTCCTTCTCCAGTTTTTCCCTGGATGAGACCACAAGGTTGGACCCAAACTCCTTGCCTTTCTCCCTTCCCCTTGCCTTTCTCTGCGGC